CAGTACATGAGGATGCAATTCCCGCTCACAACAAACAAGCCAAAATATATATTAATAATGAAATTAACAAATACATATATATATTATAAATTTCAACCTTGTCTGAACCGATGTTTTCGAGCCAATTTCATAACTTGGGCCAGTTTTCGTCGAACTCGCCTGCATTTTGGCTTTTATTATTTTCCACTGTTTTACTTCTCGAGCAAACTTTGCTCGGATTTCATAGAAATACCCAAAACCCAGAAACCATCATTCCCTTTGCAAATTGAAATCATTCATCTTCATTTTTTTCAAAGATTAGCAGCACTATCCATCGAGAAATCCTGAAATCCTAATACACAACAACCTTTCAACTAAAAATCAAGCCCTAAAAGTGACTGAGAATGTGAGTAGAGAAAAGTGAACTGACTTTAATTAATATTTGAGAAAACAATTGGAATCTCATGTTGGAGTCAGAATTAAGATTTGAGAGAAAAAATTCTAACGATTATTCCTCTCAAGCTTGGGAATGGAAGAGAAATGAAGGGAAAGAGGGAAGAGAAGAGGAGGGAGAAGACTACCATTTTTTTTTTTTTTGACAAAACTTCCCTTCGGAAGATTAAGAGGAAGCTTCTCCTAAATTCATGCATGGTTCATGCTAGTGAACCACATAGGAATTCATGCATGGTTCATAAAAATACACTTTTGGTTTTGAGGTTTGGGGTTTGTCCTTACGTTTCAAAATAAACAGTTTTGGTCTCTAAAGTTTGAAAATTTATTCACAAAGTATTATTTGACCGTTAGTTGACTTAACGGAAAAATGACTTGATAATTAACAGGTGACCGTTAATTAATTGGAGCATGCTTCAACTTATTAACAATCTATAAGGATCAAATCACAATATAAAATGAATTCATTCTATGCTAATATTTGGTACTAATTCTAAAGTAAATTATGACTCATATAAAATAATTTTGCAGGAAGAGAGATAATAAAAGAAGAGTAACTAGTCAGAGTCGAGTGACGTGTGAACGAAAATTGTAGCAGAGGAATGGGTGCAAACATTTTCTTCTATATAGTTTATTTTTCCATAGAACTATTGTTGAATTTTTATGTGTGTTTAATCTTCCTATTTTAGTTTTTATGGATTGATGAGTGTTGGTGGATCTTGTATCTGTAAGGCCATGATTTTTTTATTAATTTTGGGAAAAGTTCAAACTTTTCTTTTTGAACTAAAGTGAGTGAATTAATTATAATTCTATACTTTCAATTTTATTAATTTAAAATCAGAATTTTAATAATGTTGCAGCTATATTGGTTAGAACCTCATCAAAACTAAATTGGAAGGTTTAATAAAGAAACTAATTGAGAATGGTTGAATTATTGAAAACTAACAAAGGTTAGAACCTCACAAGCTAAAAATCCAATTGAATTCATACGATTTGGCTGCTCATGTTAAGATATTTACTCTTTCTCCAGTGATTGGAGGTTCAAATCTCAATTCCTATTTTTGTTATTAAAAAAAGTTGAATCTATATAATTGGAGTCTTTTAGGATATCGAATTTTTTTAACATAGCAACAAAATACTTAAATTGTGATACACAATGGGAGTTAATTTGATATATCATATAAAATTTTATTTTATTTTTAAGATAAATACATGATTAAAAATAGACTAAATTTGTACTAAAAAAATCAAATTCTCACCGGTCATTTGAAAAACATGCATGCTTGTTTGATAACTCATCTAATTTTTTGTTTTATGTTTTTTAAAAACGTTTTTGAGTAAAAATAAGAGTAAAAGTACACCTTTGTTTATGAATTTAAAAAAATTAACTCTCTAATCCATGAAATTTGATAAATGGTTTAAAATGTCCTTGAACATATTTGACTAATGGAAAATTATGTGGAACTTAACTGGGTGATTGTACTAATATTGCGCTAAGTGCATTTTATTTTATTTTATTTTTTTAAAACTTTTCTAAGTTCATTTTAAAATTAGGAGTCAACATTTTTTTTTTTTTAATGTTTCTCACCTATTGTAATGGAAGTTTGGTAATCAAATTTTTTCCATATTAGAGTTTTAATTGATTTTTCAAACTAAGAAGTTAGACATTTAAAAACAAATCTTTTAAGTCTCAACCTAAAATATTCAGTTGGCAAATCAAATCAATTATTTAAATAATTAGCTAATCAAACATAAATTTAATCCATAATTAGATTTAATTAACTAACTATTAGATGTAGTTCATTTTTTTTCCTAAAAAAATCCACATCATATTCAAATTCGAGAGAACATCTGAAATTAAAACCGATTTCAGCCCATTTATAACTAATTTAGTTTTTGGTTTTCGGCTTTCTGTTTTTGGTTTTTAAAAAACAAAAACCATATATGTTTGATAACATTTTTCATTTTTTGTTTTTAAAAAACAACAAACCAAAACATGTTTGGTAACTATTTTTAGTTTTGTGTTTTTAAAAAGTTAGAAAATTGAAGAGAGAAAATTTTATGTAGAGTAGAGATGGTGTGGGTGCAAGTGAGAATGATCTCCCTTATCCTTGGGCTGGTGAAAATTTTTAGTCTCCTCCCCACCTCGTTCTGGGTTCCGAGAGATGTTCTCGAGAAAAAATTATCGGTTTTATAAATTTTTTAAATTATTTTTAGAATTTAAATATAAAAAAAGTGTAATATATATTAATTATTTAAAAAATGGAATTGGGGACGGGGTCGGGACGTATATTTTCTATTTTTGGGACCCGATCTATGGAAATTTTTGTCTTGAGAAAAATTTTGGAGAAAAAAATAAAGTCAAGAGGAAAATATATGTTAAAGAAAAAAAAGAAATTATAAAGAAAGAGAAAAATTATAGTGGAAAGATAAAAAAAAGATTCAAAATATATTTTTATATAAAATAAATAAATATAAAGATAAATAAAAGTTACAGTAAAAAAAATTGAATGAGAAAATAAAATGTAATTTTTAGAAGAAAAAATAGATTACGAAGAGACATAAAAATTATAAAATATGAAATTTTTAAGGGAAAAAATTAAGAAAAATATTAAATTTTTAGAAAGAGAAATGAAACTGATCTATTAGGAAAAAACAAAGATATAGAAAATTCTTGAGACAAACAAATAACAATAAATATTTAAAATAGGAAAATTTTACAGAGATAAAAATAAAGCTGGAGGGAGAAATTTAGAAATAAAAAAATTTTAGAATGAAAAATAAATTTTTTAAAGACAAAAATGAGAAAGAAAAAAAAAGTTGAGTATTAGGAGAAGAAATGAGATTTTGAAAAATAAAAACCTATTTTTAAAACTACTTTTCGGTTATCAAACAATCCTGTTTTTTAAAAATTAAAAATCAAAAACTAAAAACTAAAAACAAAGTAATTATGGGCCTAAACAATTTAAAAAAACAAAACCTTCCTCGACTTTTCAAAACTAGATTTAGTTTAGATACTGTTCAATTCCATAACAAAAAGGTCATACCTTATTTTCTTTACAATATTTTCCATTGGTTGGAGAGGAGTTGAAAAAGAAAAAAGAAAAGAAAAAAACCATGTATACCCGCAACAACAACTCGTAAGTAATCCCCAAGAGCAAAGCGAAGTGAGTTTGAAGCTGGTGATAGACAAAAAAGGGAAGAGAATTCTATACGCCGAAGCCGACAAGAAATTCATAGACTTCCTCTTCACACTACTTGCTCTTCCTGTGGGAACCGTTGGTGAGGCTTCTGTCCAGCGAAGGCATGGTTGGCCCCCTCGGCAGTCTCTACCGCAGCGTGGATGGCTTGAATGCCAACTATTTTGAGCCAGACCAGCACAAAGACAACCTTCTAAACCCCAAGGCTCCAATCACTAGTTCTCAAATTGGAACCCTCTTGCAAATCGAATCTTCTTCTTCCGCATCAAAGACCTACTACTGTTACTACTACTGTTGGACAGAATTGCCCCGGATGCCATGCTTATATGTGCAGGATTGTAGAATATGTGCATGGAGCTGGTGAAGCAAGATCAGCAGTGGAGGAAGGTTACGTGAAAGGGATGGTTAAATACATGGTGATGGATGATCTTACCGTCAAGCCCATGTGTTCCATGTCCACTATTTCGGTGTTGAATCACTTCAACGTCCAGGATGTTCGGCAGGTTCACCACAAGCTTATATATTTGTACATGAAATAAGTAAATCTTATTAAAGATGAATAAACCATCACTCTATGAATTCTCCACAAATCTAAATATTTTATAACTAATTGTTTCTTGATTCTATTTTTTCTATAACATTATGTGCAGAAATTTTGAAAACAAGTTTCTAGATTTGAATCATATGGAAACTTTACTAAACGGACCTTATTGTTGAATGTTTTGTGATTAAATTTTTACTTTCTCAAGGGAAGTTGCTAAAGGCTTCTCTGCACTCCCCCACTGTTCTCACGGATGTGTTTTCTTCTCAACACATCATTGTGTTTTCTTTGTCAGGACTGGTTTTTTTTTTTTTTTACTGATTTTGTCAAATCTACCGTTGTTGAAGTGGGAGACTGAAGTTCCGAACTATTCATTTTTAAAATGGTAATAGGAAATAACCATACTCAATGACAATTCCAGTGAATTTCAATTTGGTCTTCACAATTTTTTCTCTAATGAGAATGAACAATTTTTTCTCTAATGAGAATGAGGGGTTCAAGTATACACCAAAAAAAAAAAAATTTAATGAATACTAACGCTAAATGACAAAAATATCGACATACAGTTGGAGGTTTCATGACTTTGTTTTTATTCATCTAAAATGTTTCATATCAATAAAGATAACTGTACTGCTTTATATATCTATGATCATGTACTGTTTTATATATCCATGATATTAACTTTGCAATCCCAAACTCAATAGTGTATCCTCTGATGGGACGTTTTTGAGTTTTCATTATTCGTCAATTTCATTTGAGTTATTGATCAAATAACAGAGTTCCATAACAATTGATCTTAGCTTTCGGAAGTCAATAAAATTAGAGTTACGTTGTCAAGTCCAAAATCCACACTACATAACAAAACATCTTCACGGTTCCATCACTTATATAGCATTATACAATCATCAAACTGAACACCAAAAGCTTGATCAGATAATATTCAAAACCAACCACAACAAATGAAACACAGGGCCAACAGCTAATATACACTTCAATTGATAGCCTTAATAACATCATCAAACTGAACACCATCTTCAAGTCGTCAGCTTTTCCTTCTAATAAACACATCTGTGAGAACAGTCTTGGAGTGGAGAGAGGCCTTCAACAATTTCACACCCTAAAACAAAAACAAATTCAAAACTTTTCCCAATTCTAGAATCCAAATAAAAATTACTTGGTATAGTGGGACATTTAATTACCTCATTGACATCCAAAGTAACAACTTTTTCCTCCAAAGCACCAACTTCCTTAACGTTAAATTTGTTCAAAAGGGCTATGCTTGAAATGGTGGACATGGGCTTCACACTCAAGTCATCCATCACCATATATGTCACCACACCTTTCACAAATCCCCCCTCATCTTCCTTAGCGGCTGCCACTGTGGTTGCACTTGCACTTGGTGGCTTCACAAACGTGCCCACTTGGGTCATGGGAACATTACATTTTGGACAAATCGCATTAGGACCATCAGAAACCGAACGGCGGCAGTTTGCATGAGCAGTTGAGTTGCACAAATAGAAGGTAGTTGCTGCAGCTGATAGATCAATGTTAGGCAAAAGCATGGTGGAACTGGAACCACAGAATGAGACTTTGGGCTTCAAAAGGATGTCTTTGCTCTGGTTTGGCTGCAAATACGTGTCGTTCAAAGTTTCCACGCTCTCGTACAAATTTCCCAAGCAACCCACCATGCCTTGCTTTTTGAGTAGTCTAATCACAGTCCCAAGAGGGAGGGATAGAAGGTTGAAGAGGAAATCGATCACATTCTTGTCCGCTTCACCAAAAAGCACTCTTTGTTCTTTTGAATCTATCAGAAGCTTCAATCTCACATTGGCGCTTGCCATTGTTGCCGAGTTTAAGAATGGTGCAGAGCTGTGCGCTATGAGGTAGTATATGTAGAAGAGAACCCAAGGTGATGAGAAATTTGCAAGGCTTCGTCAGAAATGGAGGCAGCTTCGTTGATGTATCCAAGAATATGCATCAAGTTCCTATGGGAAGCAAATGATTACTCTTCTACTCCCTCAGATCGAGGCAGCTCCCATCATGAAATCGGGGTAAGATTTTCTCTCATCATCCCTTCTTCTCCATATGTTTTTTTTACAAGTAGTACTCGTCGGTTTGTGAGGTGCGGTGCCTAGTAAGTTCAGCTGTGATCAGATTTGGTAATGATTATTTATGTTTAATTTTCTGTCTCGATGTATAATTTTGTATTTAATTAAAAATAGAACAATAGAATAAAAAAAGTGTTTAGGTTATGATATTTGATGCCAATTTCTGGACAAATGTAACGCAAGTGTCACATTGGTACCATGCATTCGTCATCTTTTTCAAATTAGCCTTTGTGCCACCGGCCATTCGTTTCTGCATGTTCTCATTTTGTAGGCCTGTTGTGAAGGTGTTCGTTTGGGCTTTTAGACTCTGATACCATATTAATATTCATGAGTTCCATTTTAAAACTAATTGTCAATGAAAGGGGTAGTCCATGACTATTATAAATCATTGTAGGTCCTTTTCTTCTCAATGTGGGATCCTTAACAATTATATTGTGTTTTTTTATTAGGAATTAGACTTGTCGTATTTTGCCTAGTTTGTCGTTACCGCTTGTTGGACTTGATAGTGTGTATCGAATTCTCACAATGAGTTGTGTGTAGGATAAAATCAATTACTTACCTCCATTGGAGTTGTTCTTCTCTTTATGTAGGGAGAGAAAGAGAGGCTCATACATTCTCCTTCCTTCCCTGTGCTGCCAGTATAGTAAGGATCTCACATTCAAAATATACGGGACCTTATAAAGGTATATAGTATAGACATGCACTGCTCTTTTATTACCAATTGATTTTGAGATAAAACTCCATTAATATTAATATAGTATTAGAGCCAAAAAATTCAAATAAGCATCTGATAAAAAATAATAATAATAAAAGATCCTACTATAATTGGTGAACCCAAAGAGGCAGGAAATAATATGTTAAGAAGATCCCATGTTGAAATGATAAAAGATTTCTCTAAAATATAGATATGAGCTACTCATCTCCTTCCTAATTAGTTCTGACATGTGATCCATGAATATTAATAAGATAGAGATTCTGTAAGGTGTATGATACTATCGTTAACCCTTTCGTATAGTTTTGAAAAATATTGCCAGAATTTGTTTACCCCAAATTTGCTTTTACCTGAATTGTTTATCCAATTTTGGCCTTACACATCTTCTTCTCCCCATTGTCAACCTAATTTTGCCTTAATCTCCCTCCTTAGAAAGAGAAAAAGATAGTTTCTTTTATATATATTTCTCTCTTTTTTCACACTTAATCCACATTCAATCCAAAAAAAGCTTATATGTTATGTAATTCTAAATTTCAAGTTTTTGTTTTAAATATTAATAAATTTCAAGGGTGTTTTTAAAAGAATATGAGTATTTTTTAAACAAATGATAAAATTAAAAAAATTGACTTTTTTTTACAAGTATTTATAAATCAACATAAAAGAAATAGAAGATTAAGCACCACCTCATGAGAACAAAAACTCAAAGAAAATAACAGCATTGATTAATTAACAACAGTGACGCGGTGGTTAGGGTTGACATACATATTAACGAAACAGATACCTGGTCAATCTGAACAAAAGATACACATTTAGTTAATTAATATTGAAAACACAAAATCCTAACCCCAAAAACCAACAAAGCAGACACTTTTTTTTGACAATTAGTTTCCTCCTCGTCCCTTTCTTGAAGAACAACTATTTGGAGTAGAAGAACAACTTTTTGGAGTCGTAGTCTTCATCCTTCCAAAGAAGACGTCAGTGAGAATAGTATTCGATTGAAGAGAAGCCCTTAGCAGTTTCACACCCTACAAACAAAAGCAACAAAAATTGAACTTTAAAAAAAGTCCAAATTTCCCATTTCCCATCATGTTTCTCATAAAAAGGGCATCAATATATTACCTCATTGACATCCAAAGTGATGATCTTTTCCTCTAAACCACCAACTTTAGTGACATTGAACTTGTTCAAAAGAGCCAAGCAAGAAATGGCAGACATGGGAATCACAGATAAGTCATCCATCACCATGTAAGTCACCCCACCACCCTTCACAAACCCCCCCTCCTCATCTTTCCCAATATGTGGTTTCACAAACCTACCCCTTTTGCTCATTGACACGTTACATACAGGGCAAATTGCATTAGGGTCATCGGCAAAGTATTCAATACATTGTTCATAACTGTTTGGTTGGCAAACATAAAATGTCGTTGAGGTTGAGGAATCAGTATCATCTGGCAGAAGCATGGCCGAAGAACCACAATAAAATGTGGGCTTCAGTAGACTGTCTTTGCTCTGGTTTGGCTGCAAATACGTGTCGTTCAAAGTTTCAACGCTCTCGTACAAATTTCCCAAGCAACCCACCATGCCTTGCTTTTTGAGTTGTCTAACCACAGTCCCAAGAGGGAGGGAGAGTAGATTGAAGAGGAAATCGATGAAATTCTGGTCTGCTTCACCAAAAAGCACTCTTTGTTCTTTTGAATCTATTAGATGCTTCAGTCTCACACCAGCGCTTGCCATTATTGCCAAGTTTTAGAATGGTGCAAAGCTATGAGCTATGCGGTTGTTTATGTAGAAATAGAACCCAAGTTGATGAGAAATTTGGAAAGGTTCATCAGAAATGGAGGCAGCTCCCGTTGATGTATCCATGCTTCAAGTTCCTATGAAAAGTAAATGATTAATTCTTCTGCTTCACCACATCGAGGCAGCTCACATCAAATCGGGATAAGATTTTCTCTTTTTTTTTTTTTCTTGGTAGTACTGACCAACTTGTGGGTGTGAGGTGCCAAGTCATTATTATTGATGTTTCATTTTCCGTTTTAGTGTTAATTTTGGATCTAATTAAGAACAGGAGGACAAGTGTTTAAGCTTGGTATAAATTAACAAATTATATATAATAATTCGATTAAAAAATCATTTTGATGGTTGAAATTTTCAGTTTTTTTTTTATTTTTAATTTTTAATTTTTTGGCTCTGAAACTTTAAATTTATTATTGGGTTATGGTATTGGATGGCAAAAATAATTCATCTATTCAAAAAAATGTCACCAATTTTTCAAAATTTCAAATATAATAAGATATTTGAATTTTATTTTCAAAATTTTTATTATTCCGATTTTATATATACATCCAAAAAATCTCTTCTAGTTTTTTTTTTTTTTTTTAAAATGGCTTCACCTCCCTTTTTTTCTCTCTTCCCACCACTTACTACAAAAATTGGGTTGCTGAATTACCACTATTTCTTTCCTTTGCTGCCATCAAAGTTAGCTTATTTATCTAACTGATCATTTAGGCATGGTTCTTGTACAATTATATTGGAGATCCTTGCTCCATCTTTATTCCTTATTTGTTTATTTTCAATTCCAAATAGCACGATACAATAGACAAGTCGTAAGACTCTTTCGTGCTATATGAACTAAAAAATTCAGCCTTCTTGGGCACATGAAACTTATAGAATGATYTTTATTAGAATTAACCATAGTTGGATAACTATAGAATGATCTTTAGAAGTTGATATTAAACTAAGTATTTAGTTTATAACCACCTCTAGTTTACAAATATATTACTAAACACACACATTAATCAATTTTTTAAATTGAAATTCAATTATCAAATATGCTACCAAACACATATCTAAAAACACTGAAAACAATAATATAACTTTAGTTTTCATTGAATCCCTTATTTTATAATTAGCAACCAAAGGTACTGTTTACCACCTGACAATCTTTAGCCAAAATATATTTTATTAGTGTTTTATATAATTCGATTGTGATTTATCTTTTGTTGATTAGTTATTAAGAGATTAATTTAATTTAAAATATGAGAAAAAAAAAGAAAAATGAAAAGAAGAAAAAATAAAAAAAAAGGTTTAATTTCTACCGTTCGTACTTTCGATTGTTTAAAAATAAAGAAAATAACATAAGAAAAAAAATATTGTAACAAAGGGAACTGTAAACTTGGATACAATTTAAGTAAATCTCTAAGGATATCGCAAAAAAAAGAGTTGCAACTTTGTGTCCACCGGAACTGAACCACTTCAAAAAATTTTCCGCAGCTTTAACAATTAACAAACGAACCTTAATTTCATCTTCGTCCCTTTCTCGTTCTTGTCTTCCCTATTAAAATACTGTTTAGAGCAGTAGTTGGAGACTTGGAGTAGTGGTTGTATTGTATTGTATCACAAGTATCCACAAGGGTAATCCCCTCAAATTCCTTTTGGCTTCCAAATTCTTGCTCCCACGAGCACATCCTCGTCTCGGTAGGACTATCCCCCATGATTTCCGAAGCAGAGAGGAATCTCAAAAAAAACATCAGAGATTTCGGTCTGATACCATAATAAACCAGAAAAAGAGTAAATCAATAGTGCTTAACTTTTTATTACTTACTACAAAGTATACATATACACGTGTTAACTGAATAAAAAATAAGATAAAGCAAGCATATAACTTAGTGTTAATTGACATATATCTTCAACCACGAGATTGTACTGAGTTTGATCTCCACCCCAACATGTTGTATATAAAAAAAACTAACTAATAATATTAAAAATACATAACTGTAATAGTAGTTGTCATCCTTCCAAACAAGACGTCGGTGAGAACAGTGAAGGGTGTCAAAAACATTATAGCAGCAGCCATTGATGGAGACAACACAGCAGCAGTTAGCTAAAATGGTTTCTTATGCAACCTAGCTATTATGTAGCTGAAATCTTAAAAGGTGGCTAGAAATGCTTCAAAACGTGATTGTTCTATATCACCTCAAAAGAGAAAAAAAATATATATTTCTTATGCAACCTAGCTATTATGTAGTTTGCACAAAAGAAGAATGGACAGTACAAAAGAAAAAAATAAATCAGTGAAGGAACATATCTCCAACGGTTACAAATGAAGGATAAACTAGGAAAGTATTTAATGGTCATGAGAATTTGACCAGGGTACATATTTCCTTATGGATTATTTTCTTATAGGGAAGATGGGTATGTTAGAAAAGTCAGTGGCAAATTAAGAGAGATCAGGCATGAATTTAGCAAAGAATCATGGAGCAATTTTAGCTAACTGATGTTGTGTTGTCTCCATCAATGGCTGCTGCTATAATGGTTTTGACATTCTTCCTCAAGCTGAAGGGAGTTTCACGGACGCCCAGCTTGGTTCTCAAGTTTTTAAATGTTGCTTTTTGTAGAGGTTTAGTAAATATATCCGCTAGTTGGTCTTTGGATGGAACAAAACTAGTTGTTAGGAGTCCAAGGCACACCTTTTCTCRAACAAAATGGTAATCCATCTCTATGTGCTTTGTTCTAGCATGAAACACTGGATTTTTGGYCATATGTAGARCACTCATGTTGTCACACATCAATTGAGGTGGTTTGGATAGCTTGACTCCAATATCTTTTAGTATGAATGTGATCCAAGTCAAGTCAGCTGCTATAGTTGCCATGGCACGATATTCGGCTTCAGAACTTGATCTAGCTACTGTAGTTTGTTTCTTGGAGCTCCAAAAGATGCAATTTGAGCCTAAGAAAATGCAACATCCTGAGGTGCTTCTTCTTGTGTCAGGACAGCCTCCCCAATCTGCATCACAGAAAGCATAGAGATTTAGTGAACTATTTTTGTAAAAAGATATTCCATACCTTAGAGTGCCTTTTAGGTATCTTAGGATATGCTTGACCATATTTAGGTCCTTTTGTTTGGGATCATGTAGATGTTGACAGGCTTTGTTAACAGCAAATGTGATGTCTGGTCTTGTGAGTGTTAGGTATTGCAAAGATCCCACTAAACTTCTGTATTGAGTTGCATCAATTATCTCATTGTCGTTTGAGGAGCTTGAAGTGGAGGTTGACATGGGTGTGCTAAGTTGTGAGGCTTCAAGCATTCTTGCTTTATTTAGTATTTCCTTGGCATATTTTCCTTGTGATAGCATGAGACCAGTGTTAGTTTGGTGTACCTCTATGCCAAGGAAATAGTGTAAGGGGCCAAGGTCCTTTAGAGAAAATTCGGATCCTAACTGTGACATGAGTTCTTCAATAGGTTTTGAGCTTGACCCTGTCATAATTATATCATCCACATACACAAGCATGGGAGTGAGTACATTGTCATCTCTATATATAAAAAGAGAGGGATCAGAGTGCGAGCAGATAAAGCCAATGTGAAGGAGGAATTGAGATAATCTCTCAAACCAGGCCCTAGGTGCCTGTTGCAGACCATATAAGGATCAGTTGAGCTTGCATACGAAGTGTGGTTTTTCTAGATCTTGAATTCCAGGTGGTTGAGACATGTAGACTTCTTCCTTGAGAAAGCCATGGAGAAATGCATTTTTGACATCTAGTTGTCGCAAGGGCCAGTTGAAGGTCACTGCCAGTGCAAGGATGAGCCGAATTGTTGTTGGCTTGATTACAGGACTAAAAGTTTCTTCGTAGTCCACTCCTTCTATCTGAGAGTATCCTTGAGCGACCAATCTTGCCTTGTAACGTTCAATTGTTCCATCCTCCTTTAGTTTAGTTTTGAATATCCACTTTGATCCAGTTGAATCATTTCCTGCAAAAGTAAATGACTGTCTACTTGACCTTGGACTTCGAATAGTAAATTCTTCATCAGAACCAAAATAAAATGGGCCACGTGAGGGGATTTGGATTTGGGTTTGGGTTTGGGTTTGCGGAGTCTCGGCATATGAAGGCAAAAGCGTGGGCATAGTGGAGGAGTTGAACGAGAGTTTTGGTTTCAAGACTGCGTTTTTGGCCTCGTTTGAGTGTATATATGTTTGGTTAAAGGTTTCTATGCTGTGGTAGAGATTTCCCAAGCATCCCACCATGGCTTCCGTTTTCAACAGCCTAATTACAGCCCCAAGTGGGAGGGAAAGTAGGTCGAAAAGAAAGTCGRCGAAGCTCTTCCCTGCTTCGCAATAAACAACTCTTTYTGTGTGCGACTCTATCACAAGCTTCAATCTCACGTTCGTTTCCCCCATTTTGATGCTGTCATACCAAATTTTGATGAGAGATATATGTCAATTATCATTAAGATATGCTCGCTTTGACAGTTATTTATAAACTTCAAATTTTCTGTTTAATAAATTTATATATTTAATTTTATGTCTTTGACATTGTTGGAGACACTTTTTAAAATTTATAGACTAGTTAGATACTTTTTAAAGCTTACGAACCTATTAGACACGAGAAGTTTATGAACCTGAACTTTCAAAAATTTATTTTAGTGTCAAACATGAGTAYAGTTCAAGTGTGATTGACACCTACTTTTTCTTTTGAGATCGGAAATTCAAAACCCCATACCCAATTTGTTATATATATATACACTTTAGTCTCTTTAAAGATGTTGAAAAATATGTTGTGAATGTGTTATCCATTTATTTAAGTCCAACTCTAATAAATGACTATTTTGGTATTTATATATTTACTTTATTTCCAACGAATGGATAACGATGAATTTTCCTTTTTATTTTTTCAGGACAAGGACATGCAATCCACATTTATGTATATTAACGTGTCCAGGTGGACATACAATCATATGATTCTTTTTCGTCAAAGTTCAAGGACTAAATATACCTATTTTAAAGATAAGAGATTAAAGTTTACATTTTCAAAATTAAGAAATCAAAATGTAACAAATATGAAAGCATATGAACTCAAATAAGATTTCAGCCTAAACTTTGAAAGTACAAAAATAATATGTGACTTAAATTAAAATCGTAATAAAGACAGATTAGAAGAAATATCCCAAGAATATCAAACTCACAAGTCACAAGAAAATTGTTGATCATAGATAATAAAGAAAATATAGAAAAAGAGAAGGAAAATAATAAGATAAACTAAACAAACTTGGTCGAAATCAGTTCGGTTTAGTTCAATTAAATTCGGTTCCATTTGTTCAAAACGAATCTAATTTAGGAAGAGAATGAAAGTTACTTACCTTATAATTAGAGTTTACGAAGAGAAGATGGAGGGTTATTAAGAGGGCAGAAGCTGTGAGCAACCAAGAGAGGATTTGAAAGGGTGGGATGAGAACTGGGAAGAGACTCAAGAGAGTRAGAAAAATAAAATGAGAGAAATTATGCAACACAGAAAGAGATAAAAACAAAAAAAAAAAAAGGTGGTAAATAAGAAAAGAAGAGTTCGTGGGTTTTCTTTTTCCCTTTCCTTTTTTATTTCTGTCTTTTTCTTTCTTTCCGTACTTTGCTTTCTATCTTTCTGTCTTTTCCTTACTTTTTCTTTCCCTGCTTTATTAAAAATATAATTAAAAAGTTCATGCTAAAATATTTTTATTTTCATTCCTGTCCAATCGTTTGGATATCATTTATCTCCGAGTAACGGAGATGTAATTAATTGGAATGAAAATCAATCAAAATTGAAATTTATTTTTTTCACATTRTTTACTTGCAATCGGAATAAGAATTTCTTTAATGTTGTTTGTTAAAACTATCGCCGTCGACTAATCTCACGAGACAACTGTCTGACCCTACAACATTTGGTGTCGAAAAACACATAAAATTACTAATCTTAAGGTGGGTAGTCATCCTGAGATTTGAAATTGTTTCCTCCTAATTAATCCATCCCCGATGAGACACTTATGATGATTTTATTTTATTATTATATTATTGATATTAATTTTTTTATAACAATTTAATATTAATGAATAATTAAGATAAAATTCTCATACGTTAATGTAATTGATTTAGGCTTTCAAAAATATCCAACCAAAGGAGGCCTCAAGTATTTCTAAACCCTACAAAATAACATATACAATCATTAACTTTTGCTTCCAACAATATATTGGAAATTTATCTTTAGCTTTTTCCGCTCCGCTATAATCTCCAAGACTATGTCAAGAAGAGATCAAATGTTTTTTATATTAAACTAATTCGAAAGTTCAAATACAAGATCTCATGGTAGGTATTACCATCATACCTCGTGTCCTTGTCATCAAAGCCGTCCCTTGGAGGCATAAATTCATAAACTTACCATTTTGTTAAGTTTTTAAAAAAACTCAAAGAACTATTAGAAACAATAGTGAAAATTCATAATCTATTAGGCACAAAATTGGTCCTTGAATTTTTAAAAACGATCTAAGAGGTTAATGCTATTAGACATGCTTGTTTTCAAGTTTAGAAACTTAAGAGACCTATCAAACACTGTTTAAAAGAGCAATGATGGAAACCCACCGAGCACAACTATTGATTTTCAAAACCAAACTTATAATCTAACGAAAAGAATATGAGAAACAAAAACCCCTACCAAAAGTGAATATTTGTGGATACATATTACCTCATTGACATCCAAAGTAATGACTTTCTCCTCCAAAGAATCCACATCTTTGATATTCAACTCTTTCAAGAGAGTAATGATGGAGAATTCAGAGAGGGGCTTCACAGTAAGGTCATCCATGACAATGTAAGTAGCCAAGCCCTTCACAAATCCCAATTTTTCCCCATATGGAGCTGCTGGTTCACTTTTTGCACAAAGTGACGCCTCTCTGCTTCGACTTGGAGGCTGCACATTTGTACCAGATGGGCTCGTGTTATTACACGGTGGAATACTACTGGAAGAACCATCATCTCCTGGACTTAGTTCACATGTTCTTGCTTAGTTCGTATTCCGGATATGTGGCACATCCAGATGTAGTAGGTCAGTGGGTACCAAATGGGCCCGTGTCACTAGAAAATCCAGATGTAGCTGAGGGGGYACCAAGTACAAATGGGGTCGTGTTATAGAAAATATAGGTGGAACCGGAGGTATAGTTATGGTTGAACATGGATCAGGATCAGAATCAGTATAAGACAAAAGCTCGGTCGAAGTAAAGTGGAACAGATGAATGAGAGGTTGGGTTTCAAGACTCTGTCTTTGCTCTGGTTTGGCTGTATATATGCCTCGTTGAAGGTCTCTACACTGCCGTAGAGATTCCCCAAGCACCCCACCATGGCTTCCTTCTTCAACAGCCTAATCACAGCCCCAAGTGGAAGACATAATAGGTCGAAAAGAAAGTCAATGAAATTCTTGTCCGCTTCACCATAGAGAACTCTTTGTGCTTTCGAGTCTATCACAAGCTGCATCAGTTTGTTCCATCGATGCCAATCTCTCAAAATGCTGCAAGCAACCAAGTTTTTATTTCATTCACCACATGCATCAACCACACCATTTCAACAATTACTAACAATTATAGCTCGGTATTTTTTTTTCTTTTTTGATATCCGTGTGTTCGGGYCAGCTTGTGTGCAAGCTCGACTAATCATAAGCCAATCGTCTGACCCTATTACCTTTGATTGATAAGATATCCCGTAAAATATTAAATCTTAGGTAARTGACCATCATGATTTGAATTCATTCCCTCTAGACCCTTTGCTATTTATATTAGTCTTTATTGACCACTAGATCATCTCATGATCGTTAACAACTCGATATTGATAAAGTTAAAAGGTTATGGTTAATTTCAACTATACTTCTATTCTATGTCTAAAAAGTTTCACTTCTACCCTATATTTAAAATCTATTCAAACATGCTTCTTTGACAATTTTATCACTAAAACAGTGACAAAACTGACTTAGTTGCCAAGTTACTAAGTACTAAGTGGCAATCACTATTCAAATATAGTGTTGACTTTTTAACTTACCCTGTAACCCTACATCCGTAATTGCCTAATAGGTATCCATAGTTGCCATATTTTGCTCAGTTTACAACTCAACAGCATCGTCAGTTTCTATAGCTCGTAAAATGGTTCCAATACATATTTTAATGAATTCCAAAAGTCAAGAGTGAAAAGTGAAGCATTTTAAATTTGGAAACTAACCTCTAAATTTAAATGCATTTGTAATAATTTAGCTTTAAACTCAACTACCAAGATAATAACGAAAAAAAAGGATAATTAGAAAACATATCCCACAGCAATTCAACATTAACATAAATTCTCATGCTAATCAAATTGAAATAAACGAAAGAAGGAAAAAGAGGAGGATATATCGACGGAATGTTTTTCAATTTTCGTTCCATATTTAACAAATTAAAATTTTCATTTTAAGAAAATATAAAATTACTTAAAACTAATTTTTAAAATATCACCGATCATTTTAGAAAATCAATTATTCATGCATCTCTTCTTCGAAAATCACCTCCTCCCACCGTCACTCCCAAAACACGCCCTAAATCCAACACTAACAGGGGTTTAATCGAACCGGTTCAGTTCGGCTTTAGGCTTAACCAGTAGACCGAATAATCAGATTCCATTTGTTTCTGAACCGACCCGTTAGGATGCGATGAGAACCGAACTGAATCGGGAACTGTGCGATTTCAATGTCCAAAAGCAACGTTAACGATTTAGTAAGAGAATGGAAGCGATACCTTGAGTTACGGTGAGAGTGCGGCGGCGGAGGGAGGCGGATTGAGAGAGAGCAACCGCAGCAAGAAGGAAAGGGGAAGGAGGATCCGAAATAGAAAGCCTCCGAGAGGGTGAAAGGAATTTTTTTTTAATATTATTATATATTAAAGTTATTTTAAAAATATTGTTATTTAATTAAAAATATTTGAAATATGGTAGTTTATGAAACTTTTTTTAAAAATATGGCCACGTGGTAGATGGTCGTCTCTSAGAGACGACCATCTACCAAACCCTTTTTATAAAAACCCTACCCCACCACCAAATCCCACCACCATTATTTTATTCCCCGCCGCCGCCGCCGACTCCCGTCTGCTCCGCCGCCGGCGTGCCGCCTCCTCCGCTCTTCCGTTGCCGCCGCCTCCTCCGGTGAGCGACTGCCTCTTCAAGAGACACCAGCGGCACCACTAGTTCGTCGTCAGCCACATCGTAACCGGCGACGTTCCCATTGTGGAACAGATTAGATCGATAGACTGTAAATTGACGGACTACAAACATTGTTCTCTTGTTTATAATATTAATTTCCAATTTTGAAGATAACTTCATGATTATATAAGAAAATCATAAAATCATAATTTTTGTTTACACARCATAGTATAGTTAATAATAAAACTTATTTTAAAAATATAGTTAATAATATATTTGAGGGGATTTTTTAATTAATATAGTTAATAATAATAACTAGAGATTAAAGTGAATTTTTAGTTAATAAATAAATAAATATACCCATGTATTTTATTTAATAATATTTAAAATACTAAACAAAAAATAATGTGGGACGACCATCTCCTAACTTGAAAACAAATTACGTGGCGTCCTAGGTGGCGCCACGTTGTATGGTTGGTTGTCTCTTCAAGAGACGACCACCCCTCACTTTTTTAAAACCACTATATTTTTAAAAAAAGTTTCAAAACATACCATATTTTAAACAATTTTAATTAAAATACAATATTTTTAAAATAACATTTATAATTAACATTATTAATAAAAAATACCCGAAATAAAGGAGATTAAACTAGGGTTTTTATTTGTTTTTTGTTCTTTTATAAAAAGGCTACATTTAAAACAGAGAGTTAAAAATAATATTTTCAAATATTTGCTATTGAGTGAGTTTTAAAAAAGAGTTTCTCCTTAGTATACTAAAAAATATATGGGAATGAAGAACAAAAAGTATTTATAGCAAAACATATGATGAAGAAAAAAAAGTTTATAGGAAAGGATATCGATTAGATCAATGTAGAACTTGTTGATGCATAAATCTCTTTTTAAAATATGAATCCAGCTTAAGCTGCAATAATGTTCAAGCTAGAATTATGAAGTGGAATTGGATTATAATCTTTTCCCGAGAATCTAAAGTCACTATATATCTTTCTCTTTTGAATTTAGAATTTAAATCTCTTATCAAGACAAATCGGAATTTTTTATCTAAAGTGAATTCAAATTTCTTAGAAGATGATGCAATGATTTAAAGAGTGGAGGGGCAAAATGTGGACTAATTGGCCGACTAGAGTTTTGCCTACCTTAATTGAACTTACCAACATCCAAAATAAAATAAGTTAAACAAAGGACATCAAATAATAAAGAAGGAACACACAAATAAAAGATATAAAACTTCATATAWCGAAAAATATTAGTAAAAAGAAATGAACTTTAAATTTCAATTTTGTGTTTCATCGAACCTTAAAGAATATCTAATAAATTATTAATCTTTAAATTATGTGTCTTATAAGTCTYTGATAGATCATTCTTATATTTTACGTGTTATATTTTACATTACTATCTACGATCAACATACTTCGATTCGGATTTAAAAAATCTGTTTTATCTATTCAACTTATTCACACAGAGGCCACCTATTGTTATGTTGTGCTAAATCTTGTARTTCGATCCATGTGAATAAACATCGTTTATCAACTTAAACATATTTTTATAAGTACCATTATCAATTAAAACCTTGATTTTATCAATTTTGACTTTTAAATTTATAAAAGATGAGGAGGTGGGAGGAGTTCTCCCTTCCATCATCTCTAAGRTATATAGTAACAAATTAAGATGAGGCAATACTTTAAAATTGTTTGAAATAGAAATACAAATTTAAATTCAAAACAATAACTACTTAGAAGTAKGAGGTATAAAATTGATAAAACAAACACAAACGAATCGTAAAATGATGAAGTACCAGTGGTCGGTCATAGGATAAAACTCTACCACAGTAACAAATCGGGTTGGATTCATTTGAGTCAATCTGATCCATCGAACCAAATTGATGGTATTTTCTTTAAAATTAGGACAMTCTTAGAAGGATAAAAAGAATATGTAATAGCGTATATAAATAATTTTCTTCAAATACTACTTCTTGAATACAATTATTTAAACCTGAATTAGTAAATCGAACCAGTTTAGTTCTTCTTCCTTTATTTCTATCTTCTTTTTGAGTTCAATGAGATCTAATCATCAATAACATTTGTATTATCCAATAAATTTGAAAAACCAAATCAGATAATCGGGTCAGAAAATCAGTCCCAAATTAACTTTAAACCAAATCCATAGTCAGGATAGAAATGGAAATTTAACTTGAGGGGTAAGAAGGAACTTTCACATACATATGATGACATTATTGGGCCAAGCCCATACTGTGAAAGAAGAATAAAATGGTCAGGCCCAGTTTCCAAATTGACCATTGGAGGCCATATCTAATTGCTCCACTTTAGAAACCCTAATTCGGCCGCAACCTTCCGTCTCGCTATCCCTCTCTTCGCAGGTATGAATCCGCCCCTTTCCTGAAATTGCTGCTCATATTTGCCCCTTTCTCTTCCTTCGTGCTTTCTTTTTWCTTCTCGTTTTGATTGTTTCTTGGTGCTAGCAGGTCGTTTATTTTGGTCCAGGATCTTCAGCAATGGCACCTAAAGGTATGAGATGCAATCTGATTTTCTGATTTTTTTTCTTCCAATTTTGTTCTTCCATGGTTTTCAATCGAAGCTGCGTGCCGTAAAGGCGTTCCCAGTACTCAAAACCTACTTCTGCTCTGAACTACAAGAATTAGCGTGTTTTCGATCTGCGAAGTGTTAATGGGTATTTGTGTTACTTTAGAAAATAATAGACGTTGTTTATCTTTCACTATCCAGTTGGTGGTTTGATTTAAGTACACTATATTTCGGAGAAGAGTAATTAACAAGTATTCTTGAATCTTATTCAATCCACTAGATGATTCTTCTTTCAAGTTCTTGAGGTCGTTTAATGGATATTTTCAATGTGCGAATTGTATGGCATGTCCCGGTGGAATCTGACCTTAATAAGCTGCGCTGGGTACTTWTGAGCTTCTGGAACGCACTGTTTCTATCCTTAATAGGAGGGTTTTTATTTTTATTTTTTTTTGTATTTTGCAGCTGACAGTAGCAAAAAGGCTGATCCCAAAGCTCAAGCCTTGAAGACTGCCAAGGCAGTCAAGTCTGGTCCAACTTTCAAGAAGAAGGCCAAGAAGATTAGAACATCGGTCACATTCCACAGGCCGAAGACATTGAAGARGGATAGGAAYCCCAAGTATCCTCGGATCAGTGCAACTCCGAGGAACAAGTTGGACCAATACCAAATTCTTAAATATCCACTGACCACCGAGTCTGCAATGAAGAAGATTGAGGATAACAACACCCTTGTTTTTATTGTCGATATTCGTGCTGACAAGAAAAAGATTAAAAATGCCGTGAAGAAGATGTATGATATTCAGACTAAGAAAGTGAACACTTTAATCAGGTATGCATGGTTCAGAAGTTTTGATGAACAGCAATTTAGGAACTATATTTGCTATTTTCAGTATACCATTATCATTTACAGAGAAGCTTGCTATGGTACTGAGGAAGGAATAGTCCATATCATTCTTTCTAGCTCTGCTGATAGAAATGCCTTAGCTCGGGTTGGATTTGCTGATTTTTTTTTTAATCTTTAATTTTATATATTTATACATAGTTTCTATTGATATTGGCTAGTCTAGTGGGGTCAAATAGGACCAATCTAAATGGCTTAGAGGGAATGGGTTCAAACTTGGTGTCATTATCTAGGATTTAATATCTTACGATTTACCTAGACAACTAAATATGGTAGGGTCAGATAGTTGTCTCGTGAGAATAGTCACAAGCTGGCTTAAAGTTAAAAAAAATGTGGTCCCGTTGATTGATGAAAATACGAAATCTACGTTTCGATGATGAACGATTGAAATTCTGATGTATGATTCTAAATGGTTGCAGGCCAGATGGAACAAAGAAGGCATACGTTAGGTTAACCCCTGACTATGATGCCTTAGATGTGGCGAACAAGATCGGTATCATCTAAACTACAAAGCTTGGTGTCTTTCTTCTTAGGGGTGGAGCATTTTCATATCAATTGTTACATGTTAAAATTTTGGAGAGCATCTTGTTGTAGGATCCTAGTTTTATTCTACCTTTTCTTTGATATGTATTGGAATTTGTTAGCTCAGATAGACTGGGTTCACAATACTTGGAATATGCACTCAAATCATTTTTGGCTTTTTAAATTTATGGCATCCAACTGTGGGTCCTGATTTCTAATTTATAAAGTTTTTGCTGATTGCTTTCTGCTGAATGAGAAACTAATGTTTTGCAATTCATAACATTATGTTAGCTGGAGCAGATGATGGATCTTCTCCCGTATGTGTGGCCTCTTCCTTTAAACTATCTTATTAGCATAATTTTTTTTTATTATATTCATTGAATTTTTAGGTTTAGTTTACTAAAGATAGTGGGGTTAAACGGTTGTAGTYTTAGTTAAATAATTATATTTCATAGTTTTATTCAAAACTGTTATGAAATKAAATTAATAACTAGATGACTATGTTGTGGTAATATTGGTTATATATTTTACATATATGAGATATTAAGGTTAAAAACATGAAAAATGATGGGTAGAAGTTACGGTTCTATATATAAATGTTTTGTCATACCATCATTTCTTGTTATTAAATTATTTTGTTAAATTATAAATTTGATTTTTTAAATTTSAATTTAGTTTAGGATTGTAAAACAAATATCATTATTTGAAYGGATGAGTATCGAGATRTACTTATTTTAGGRATAATAGTATGTATGTCCATTTAAAATAAGCAATTTAAAAAACTGTCCAAACAATTTTCAATTTTGAAGAATATTCAACTTAAAAATGAGAGAATCTCTACTAATTTGYTTTTAGTACAGTTACCATTCACTAAAAACAATCCTTCCGGTTTGCAATTGAAAAATCCAATCTCAAAATATCAATATCCTTGAAAGAAATTAGTGTAAACATTTCTTTCATCCCATTAGTGAAACGAAAAAAAGAAATATAGGGATGGAGATGATGATACTGGAAGTAAAACTGATAATGAAAATAAAAGGTAAATTTAAAGAAAGGAAAAAAAAAAACTAAATTCATAACAAATTTTGAAAGGATAAAACATACCTTGAAAACTATATTAAAAAAAATAACTATTAGATTTTAGGAGAGGAAAAAGTTATTTTAAATTTAAAAGACCAAATAAAAAAGGTAAAAGGGTCCGAAAGTAAATTTACAAAACATTATTCGACTTATTCATTTGGGTAATCTATTGTAATATTGTGCTAAATTGTATAGTCTGATTAGGGTGAATAGATATAAATAATTTAAATATCAACTAAAATTGTGATGTAATCAATCTTCTTTGAGTTCTATAGAATTAAAATGAGACACTAAAGGAAATATTTTAAAATTAGAACAACAGATTAAATTTTGAGTAATATAAAAACAGACGAACCCTAAGCCAAGAAGCACCAGTGGTCTAGTGGTAGAATAGTACCCTGCCACGGTACAGACCCGGGTTCGATTCCCGGCTGGTGCAATCCTCGTCTTGCCATGATGAAAATTGTGCCTTCGTGATCACCGGATCACAACCGTCTGGATTAATCGGACGACTTTGGCACGGCTGAGCTTGATACTTTTTTATTTTCTTTTTCCTTTCTTCTTTGAGTTCAATTTGTGACCCTTGATTTCAACTGCCTGCCTAGCAAAAATAAATGGTTAGATTATAAATTTATTCCTTATAATTTCTATGTAGTTTCAAAATTTCAATCTTTTTTAGTACAACGATTTGAAAATATGGAGAATTGAATCTTCAATCTCGAGAAAATAAGTATATGTCAATTACGACTGAACTATATTTATGTTGATTCAATTTGAGATTTTCAATATGATTTTTATAGTTTGGTCAAACTTTACGGGCGGTTCATATCATTGCCATATTTACAAATTTTTTTTGCACATAGCAATGGATTAATATTTTCCATTTGGGAAATTGTATTAGTGAACTATATCACGATTTAGGGTCTAGTAAAAAATAGAAGTAAATCAGTGATTTCTTGGACAAGTAAAATACAATTAAGAGGGACAACTTGAGATGTTTAACCAGTTAAGAGTAAATTTAATTGGSAGAAAAATAACAGAAATAATAATTATTTAAAAAAAATTGGAGACTAAAATGAATATTTTGTAAGATGAGAGATAACAATGATTGTCTTCACGTTGAAGGACGCTTACTTGTTTTTTAGTATAAGTAGTTACGGGGTTTGCTATGACTTTTTCCTATGGTTCGATCACTACTGAGGTTTTGGATGTTTAAAAGTCAAAATAGAATAAATTTGAATATTGAAAAACTAAAATGAGATTAAATTGTTTGGGTAAATACACCTCTAGTCCCTAAGATTTGAGTTAGGATTCTATTTGGCCCTTAAATGTCAAAATATGACTTTTGAAAATAGTTCTAAATCGGGTCCCTAAYTTTAAATTACACTTAGTTTTTTTTTTTAATAGAAATGTGACGTGACAGTTTTACTTGCATGTGACGTATCTTCTTAATTTAAATCTTTTAATATTTATGAAATTAAAAGTTTAAAGGAAAAACTTATACAATCTTATCAAATTGTTAAATTTGATCTATTTTTACTATATTTATATGAATTAGATATACCACCAGTGAAACAGAAAGCCAAAGTAATAGCTATCACATGGGGATTTACTTTTTTTAGTCTTTAAATATTTTTAAAAGAAAACTATAACAAAACAAAGAAATACACGAGTGATGGTGGTGTTTCTTAAATAAAATTTTAACAACAGAWATCAAAAATTAAAATAGTTCTTAATTTYTTGCGTTTGCTAGGCTTAAGCAACTTCTCTGGTATGAACTGCCAAATTAGACCAAATCAAACTGATATCAATGATGATTAAGCAAGATTAAAATAACAGCTGCTTAAACTAAGGTGTCTTGGAAGTTTTTGTTTCCCACCAGAAGGATAACAATGAAAATTACTGGAAATTCAACACATCKTAATAAATAAAAGGAACAGGTTTTTGCCAACTTGGAGATCATATTGGTTTTGRTTGTAAATTTTTTATTTATGATTCTCATTTTATGTTCCTACCAAGTTGATGCAGAAAGGGTGGGACACAGGATTATGATTTATTACCAATTTTTTCACCTTATGGCTTCAAATTTTGGAAAACAAGAGAGCATAAAAGCTGTAAAGACACAAAACATTCTTTAAAACTGAAACTGTTTTCCAAAACAGTTCTCAAACAGCCCTCAACTTCTGTAGTTCAARTTTTAAGAAAACAAATCACCCATTTAAAATGACAYGCTTTCGCGAATCGCGAAAAGTCCTGCTACTTTCATAAGAGTGGCCGTGTCTCAGCCYCAGGTGGTGGCTCCCAATCATCCTCTCGAACTAGTTATTGATCATCGCTTTGGTAAGTTACTGTCTCACCAATTAGCTAATCTGACGCAAGCCTTTCCTTAGACGGGTGACTTTAAAGAACTGAACTAATAAGAATTCGTTGCTTAATAGTGACTTCTTTCGTTTTGTAGGGTGACGAAAGACTACTTTGATCTAGAAAAATGCTGGAAATTCAAAAGGGTCGTCTTTAGAAGCGTTCRTCGGTAACCAAAATGTATCGTTCCCGCAACTACTTTGGTACTTTGCTTATTGCTTTTTTAGCTCCTGCTTGCAGAATGAATGGGTTTTAATTTTTGCACATGTATCAGTTAATGGCATCTGTTGAGTGAGTAACAACTTTCATTTTGTAATATATTGAAATAAACAACAATGCAGATTTTTTATAGAGATAAACTAGAATTCATGAAAAAGAAAAAATCCCAAGGAAACAACCTCTTCAAACAGAAGCAGATTAGCAAAATCCAACACTTTATTTCTCTAAGTATCCATATGAGAATGTTTAGGAAATGGCTTTTGGATATATTTTCTAAAGTCCTTTATCTTCTCTGGCCATGTTTTAGCCATTTCCAAGTCTCTCTCACCCTTTGACTTCAGCTGAAAATGAGCAACTTCAATATAGTTCACCAAGAAATTCCCATCTGAATATTGCTCTTCTGATGATGTTTCATCCTCCAATATCCCAACTTTGAGCTCCCCGAATCGAATATCCCCGCTCGTTTTCTTCGAAAACGCACCCGAGCTCAATATGCAGTAACTTTTGGGGTCAAACTGCACATAGTTAACAGATTTCACACAAAGTTATAATAGAAAATGACTTCAATATAAAAGAATGAGAGATAAAGGATAATCACTAGAATCCTGAACGGACTTGGTCATATACATATTAAAATTTTCAAGAAACGTCAAACTAAATACCGTGATGAAGAGACGCTCTAATGCTGGACACAATTTGAGGAAGCCAATCAATGCACTAGCATTGAAGTTCCCTTTTGAATCATCAATCCACCACAACTCTTGCAGCTTATAAAATTTGAAGTTCCAAGAAAGAGAGGGAAAGATCAAAGCCTGCCAAGAAGAACTTCCACAACTTAAACAACAAAAGAGAACAAAACAACAATATATTTGAAGTGCAAAAGCAATTTTAGGCAAATATGTACCTCAAAAGTCCATTTGCATAAAGTGAGTGTTCTAACATTCTTTACTGTCAACAGAATTGGATCAAACTCACTACTCTTATAGCTGTATCCAGGACCTTGTCTGCAATCAAGCATAACATCTTCCATGTTAAAATGGTACTTGAGCTTAACACGAGGAAACCGCCCTCGATATCGAAACGACCGGAGTTTCGAGCATCCGAGGTGAAGAAACTCCAACTGCAGACAGTCCRAGATGGCCAAGCTTTGAAGCTTTGAACCAGAAGTGATGGAGAACGATTGCAGTCCATTGCACTCAATGAGTTTCAAGCTCTCAAGAGAAGGAATTCTCTCGACGAGGGACGAAACCACCTCGGTCGTAAGACGGGTTACTGATTTGAGACACAGAGTTCTGAGAAAGAAAGTTGAAGGAGAAGGATGGTGGCCATTATTCAGACTCAATTTCCAGCCAAATTGGCTTGGAAAACAATCCTGTTTCCCAGAAGAGAAATCTAAGTGAAGTTTATCATTTGCCACAACAGAGACCAAGACGGCTCTGCCACTGCCAAACTGATATTGAAGCCTTCTGGGATGCTTCAATGGATTGAACTCATTGAAATGGACAAGAAATCTTGAAGCTGCACCTGCAAATTCTTCAAGAGCTCCATTTTGCACCAGAACCTGCTTCCAGAGCTTATGCCACCTCGTGGAAATGGAGCTGGTTTGAAGAACTGATTCAAGAGGCAAAAAAGATGCAATTTTGTGAAGAATTTCATCAGGAAATTTGCTTATCAAATCTAGATCATCATCCCCATTTGGGTCCATTCAAATGCTGTTCCCAAGTTTGGATACGGTTTTGGCTTTTCTGGGAAACTTGAGCCTTATATTATATGAAATGTTGTCGTTTTTCATCAATTCTAATATTGTTTAATCACACACATTGAATAGTTCAAACTTCATATCAAGCCACTCCCATTTGGCCCCATCAAATGCTAATAGTAATCTGGTAAGGAAAACGGCATTTTGACCCAAATTTTATTTTCAGAGGATTTTGTCAAATATGAAAATTTTATAAGGGCATTTGGGATGTTGAGAAATGATGGTGTAATAAATTATTTTGAAAAAATAGATTTAATAACTATTAATTTTTAAAAGTGATTTAATTATGTAAATTCTTTTTTTTTTTATTTCTTGAAATCCGAAATCCGAAAACTTCACGTAGGTGATACCATACCACAATGTCCAAGGTCTTTACCGTTGGGACCATTCCAGAGGACAATTAATTAATTCTATATTCTCATAAGGGCATTTTACCGAATTACCAAAAAAAAATGGTCATAAAAAAAGTTGGCATAAAACCCTAAGATAATTTAGTAAATTAGAAAATGATATTTGATCCAAATTTGTTATGGTACAACATGTGTGAGTGAGATTCGAGCTTTTTGATAAAATAAATGTTTTAATCAATTGAATTATRCATATATTTACATTTCAAATATATAGTKTTCATTGAATTCAATAATTTTTATAGAATACACCAGTATTAATTAGAGAGTGAGATTSAAAGCATCCCCGTACCAACGTCTTAATTATTATAACACGATAGGAGAGTTTTAGTCATTTTATTTTTTATAYTTTCTTATTTCTCTCTCTCTCTCTCTTTTTTTTCCTTTTTTGACACATTTATTTTCTTATCTCTTAAGGCTCAACCTTCAAAAAGATTGGTCTCCCGTTTGACATTTTACCTCTTCAAYTGCTTTGACTTCTTCATTTTTTTATATCACCGCTTTAGTAAGCATTAAAGAAAGGTTGACTGTCACAGCTAGTGAAGATGAAAAACAAATCCATGTGCCTCCTATGTATGTTAACAGTGAACACAATCCTATTTTGTAGAAAATTATAAACTTTTAGTACAAGATATTTCTCATACTAAAGTCTTTTGCCATTACGTTGTATGAGAAATTAGATCGGTCTTGATGAATGAAATTTAGTCTTAGAACTTCTTGAACCTTTACGATCTCATATTTCTTTGAGTTGCATGTTAAAAAACATTCAAGTGAGAGTGATCMTCCTATCTTGTAGAGTGTTCATCTATTAGAGCAAAAAAAAATTGTTGGGGAGAGTTTTGACTTTAGACAATCCATGTCTAACCCAAAATTTTAGGAATAAAATCGAATCGGTTAGAAGGATTTAGTGTTTGTGAATCAATGACTCGTTTCATAACTTTTCTTTTTTGGTAACTCATCCGGTTTCTCATTTCTAAATTTGACAAACGTTACCTAAAAAGAGGAAAAAATTTGAAAATAAGAAAAAGTAGTTTCGTTGTTGCTGTTTCCGTTTCTTAATCTTACGGTAATACATGGTGTAATTTTAAGCAAAATGGCTATATATATATTTTTTTTTCTTTAATTATTTTTTATTTTCTATTTATTTTATAATATATATATATATATATATTTCTAATTAAAGATATATTTTAAAATAATTTTTTCTACTATTTATTTTCTTTCATATATATATATATATATATTTTCTATTTTTTTTTATAAAATTAGACATATTTTGAAATTTTATTCTTTATTTAAGTCCAATAATCTAGACTAATATATATATTTAAAATATATTATAAATTATGTTTTCTTTAATAGATTATATTTCTTGAGTATATTTTATATATTAGTTATATCTTTTCCTATTATATCTACTAAATTTGATTTTAACTATTTTTTTTAAAGCAATACTTGTTTAGATATTATCAAAGGTTCCTAATTTTATTCAATTTATTACGGTTTTCATATCARTAGTAGTACGAGAGTCATAGCTTGAACTTGTCCATGTTTATAAACATTTTTGGATATTTCACAAAGTTAATAAGCCTTGATATCATCTCAAGATTTTTGGCCTTAGTATGTTTCAAAATACTTATTAGAATTGTTGTTTGTTTTTAAAATAATTGTTGGGATTATTGTCAAAGTCCTATATATAAGTTAGAAGTCAGAGAAGGTTCAAAATATCTCAATTAATACAGTACTAGTTAGCTTTGTTCTTCTTTTTCTACTATTTCTTCAAATTATAATAAATTTGATTAAGAACTTAGGCAGGTAAATGCTCTCTCTTTATTCTTCAATCGGATACTTTATTATAGGACTAATATAAATGTAGAGTTGATATATGCATATATTTTTTTCAGTGGGAGGTCGAAACTTTAACCAAGATAATAGGCATGTCATATCTATTAAGCTATATTCGAATTGACAAAGTAATTATAACAAGAACAACTGAGTTAGCACAATTAAATTAGTGCAAATAAAATTCCGGCAAAATCGAGGATCTACGTGACCAAATTTTCCTGTTCAAAAGAGGATCTCTCTTCTTCTTCATTCTCAACAGGAATGCATCAACAAAACTGCCCTTCCATATAGATCGTCGTGGCATGAACTCATTTCTCCTTTTCCCCACCCCTGCCCGAAATCCCGCTTTGGTGGGCTTCCCTCAAGGTGACACCGAAGGTCTACCTCCTTTAGTAGCTCGGCATCGGGAATCAATGAGTTTTTCAACACCCGAAGGTAGCCGCACAAGCCTAAGAGAGAGTGTAGGGGGTGCAGGTTCCTTCATTATTTTAGCAAAAGTTCCTGCGGCTCGAGCCAGCTTTGCGCTCGTGCTTCTAAAGATTTTTGTCACTATTTTAATACAAGTAAGAAATATATTGGGATTGCAAGAAAATGGTTATCTTAAACCTACCCCTATTGGACTAAAGTTATAAATATACATATATATACAAATAAAAAACAAGATTAACCCAATTGCTTGAGAGGTACGAGAGAAGCGTTAATTATTTAGAAATGGAAAAAAAATCTATTTTAATTATCATTAGATTCATTTATTTTATCACAATGGGTCAAGTTATTAACTTAAGCTCGTGCTTAATATTTATTTAAGTAGAAATAGATTCAGCTTAAGGGATAAGATTTGAATCAATCGCATCAAAATAATAACAAACTCTAATTATACTCAAAATAACAATAATTAATAATAATAGTAAACTCTAGTCTCATTTTATTTTCCTTTCTACTTTATTATTTCTTTAATTTAAAAGATTACAAAATGAAAGAGTGGTCCAATGGAAAGATTGCCCACCATTATGTATATAGCCAAATATAATTTCTCCTTTGACTGAAAATTAATAGTTTGTTAACAAATTAAAAAATATATAAGAAAAGGAACGAAGGGAGAGCCCTCCGATCTGAAACYAAGGGAAGCTCTCCTTTTCACTCCAAATTTGAAAGAAAAGGAAAAGGAAGAAAATAGGAGAGGAATGAGATTTCAAGACATGGTCTAACCATTCGAGAATAATAATAATAATAATAATATAGTATTAATATAATTTGTCAAGTTAATCCGTCTAATCATCATGTATCAAATGATTTATTCTCAAATTTTAAAGATTAAAAATTTACTTTTTAAAATTAAGCTGAAATATAGAAATCAAAAGTTTATTTTATCCCACCAAAAATTAAAATCTAAAACAAACAGACATTTTCTTTCTTCAAATTTCTATCAATTTTGTATCCATTTGTAAATTCATTTAATACACTTTTTTTAAGTACAACTTTTTAGTGGAAGGTATATGTCAATTATTACTTAACTATGCTTACACTTTGAGACTAACAAAATGTAAAAATTATTAACACTCATCTAAATTAAAAATTGATCCACTACCTACTAAATGTTTTGAATTTTTTTTCTTTCATTCTATCATCACTTGTAATTTGTAATTTCAATACTCAATCTTAAAAAGGAGTCTTTTATAATTTGATGAACATTTAGAATAATTTTACTGTAAATATTTTTTCATTATAGTTAAACATTTAACATTTTTTGAATTTACAGTATAAATTTTATTTTACAAATTTATTGAAATTGCAATAATCAAAAAAGAGAAAAAAAAAAGTTTTGTTTGTACCCAATTTTAATCTCTTTGATCGGCCGRGCCATTTAAATTGTATCTAAGCGAGGAAACACCTGCAAAAATTTAACAAAGAATCTGATGCTCAAATTAGTAAGAATTTGACCTAAGCTCTCAAAATGAAGAATCAACTCCCATATTTGTATAGTGGTGACTGAGATACTTCAACATAGGTTTAGGTACAGTCATCAATCGAGTTCTGAGTTATACAAAAATACTCTGATTGAGCTCAATAGTTCGGACACGTTTGTTTGACTCCCAAAGTTAAAAGTAATAATTGCGTGAGAGGCGAAACCGAAAACCTCCTCAACTTTGATTTTTATAACAAACACTTTTGGTCCCTAAGTTGAAGGTAGGTTTTTATTTAGTCATTGAATTTCAAAAAATGACATCTGACCTTTAGAAAGTTGTTCTAAAAACCCCTAGTGTTAACATTCCGTCCGTAACACTAACCGTTGATGTGACATTTATGAGTTTGATATATATTAATTTTTTTTGTATTATTTTGTGTTGATTATTCCCCATAATTGTAATTTTTAAGATATAATTAATAATTAAAGATAAACCCCAGCCGCTGCGAATAGGTTTTAGGGGGAAAAATCGGAACCCTCGAATTTCAGTAGACCTCTGCTTCGTTTGGCAAATTGATCTTCGCTTCCATTTATGATTCTGCGACTGTGAAAAATGGTTCTATCAAACAAAAAGTTGAAGCAGAAGCTGAGAGAAAAGCTAGCCGAATCGTTAATTGCCACAGTCGCCGGAAAAGATTCCGTCGGGGATGTTTCCGGTGAACCGGATTCGGAGTCTAGGCCACAATCCCTGAGAGAGCTTTTAGGCGCCGTGAGTCACCATGGACCTAGATTGTCCAAGCGAGAGAAACGTAGAGAGTCGCTTACTTTGGTAGCTTCGGATGAGAAGAACAATGAGGAGAAGAAGGAAGATGAGAATCAGAGATTGGGAGGGACCAAGAGAGAGARGAAAAGGAAGAGAGATGAAGAGGGGGCGGAAAAGAGTGCGTTAGATGGGTCGGCAGAGAATAATGAGAAGGCCAAGAAGTTGAAGAAGAAAAAGAAGAAGAAGAAGAAGAAGACGAAGAAGAGTAATAAGAAGGCAGACAATGGCGAGGAGGAGAAGGAAAAGCAGGGAGGTGAAGGTGGGAATGAAGTGGAAGGGCTTGAAGAAACTCATGATAATGTAGGCAGGTAGTTCAATTAACCAATTGGATCAACTGTTATATATCTTAGTAGCTTAACAACTGTTATATATCTCAGTAGCTTAACATTTCTTTTTTGAACTCCGAGATAGTTGGCATTCATGTTGTGATTAGTTTGTTCATGGATTGGATCATTGCATTCTTCATGTTTCATATTGGTCAATTGTAGTCTATCATGAGAACACTATAATTACTTTAGAAATCATGCTGGAGAATGAGAACACTTGTGGAATCAAGCTTGTAGTCTTAATCTATTCATGGTATGACATTGATCTGGAAATTGTTTGTCTCTGATTATTTAGTAATAATTCTGAAGGAGGGAGAAACTAGTATTCTTTTTTTCCCTTTTTAAATATTGAGCTTCGACAGAGAACCTGGATTAATAATATGATGTTTAATGTTTTTAGCTTGATTAAACTCAAGCTCTCTTTCTTATGCTAGCTCCTTTGAAGATATTGTGTACCCAGTGATGCCTAGATAGATAATTAAGTAGTTAGTATAGTAATCTGATTTTATTATTTTTTGGTTTCAGGCCCAAATGCTAAAATTTGGCTTTACTAGTCCGATATGTATCATCTAGGCTGATAGATGCATTGTTGCCCCCTCCCTCCCTTTTGATCGCTCTAATGTATTAAATGACCATTTTTTTTCTTTGGCTGATTTACAAGTGTTGTATTTTCTCCAGTGTAGTAATTGAAAATGTGGCTACAAAAGTATATGTTGGAGGAATTCCATATTATTCAACAGAGGATGATATTTGTAGCTTTTTTGAAAGCTGTGGCACTATCACCGAAGTTGATTGTATGAAGTTTCCAGAGAGYGGGAAGTTCAGAGGCATTGCAATATTAAGTTTCAAGGTAAGCTAACTTAATCAATAATTAGCTCTGATTCCTCTTAGTAGGAAGACCAAACAACATTTGAAGATGGGTTCGTGATTTTATGCTTTGCCAGATTTTACCAACTGTGAGAGTAACTTGCGTTTCGAAGTTGATTCATGTTAGAGAAGGAGGATTTAGAAGGCATTATTCCAAGATTAGGCAAAGGATCATCATATTTTGAAGTATTCTTAAATACCGTCATGTTCTAGTCGAGAGCTTGAGATTTGTGCTTTGGTTTGTGATTATATGGGCTGAGCAGATTCTCCAAGATTTGAAAGGCTTTATTCCAAGATTTAGCCAAGGACCAAGTCATATTTAGAA